TTAGAGAGAGACTAGAGGTGAGAGAGAGAGAGAGAGAGAGACAGACAGATGACAGAGAGAGAGAGAGGAGATGAGAGAGAGATGGCCCTTTGTGCAATCATGCGCTGTCACGGCGATCGCAAGATCACTGTGTGAGTGGATGTCCGGATGCCGTAGCACTGAGCTAGGCAACCGGTTCCGGACGCGTAAGCCACTGCGTAATTTGAAAAGGCATCTTACACTCTGAACACATAACCTTCGGTCTATCGGACCTTCGTCCTATTAGGCTGGTAACCATTTATTATAGTATGTCACAGTTCACTTGAATTGTTACCATAATCCATTACTATATCTATGTTCAAACGCTGTCAATTATGATGTAACAATGTAACACAAAAATTTATTCACAATAGTGTATTATACTATTCTAACTGCCAGTCTATTGATATATACATGCCTTCACCCGCGATCATTTTACCGTTTGAAATATATGCATGGCAATTGAATCACTGTTGAGAAAAATTTTAGCAACCGCCATTTAGGCAAGGTACAATTGATTCATTCTGTATTTATTAATTTGTTTGTGCACAACCTATGGGTGTCCCGCCGTCTAGTGAGCTCGTGTATTAGTGCTTTTGAATGAAATAACAGGCACGCACATTTTAGCTTCAGGTGATGTTTGAAAAAAACGCGCCTTGCACATGTATACAGCAGGTAGGCATAGAGGTGCCGAACCTGCTATCATTGAGTGGCCTAAATGAGGGTTGCATTTGTGCTATGAGCGGTTTATATATCAGCAATCGCATTTTTCGAGTTTTTTTGCTTTCTCGTGTTGATCACCCATATTTGGGGATAGGAATAGTGCCTCGCTACGCTCTGGGCACTATACTTCCCGCAGACAACTATGAACCGAGCATAGCCCCCAACAACAGCCATTAATGTTTTTTAGCTGCATCCTATGACTATGCCGCAATCTACTTTTCATGCTTATTATACCTTCTTCTTACTCGCTAATTTGGCCGCGTGCATTCGAGTAAACAACGCGCATAAGTAGCTCTAGTACTAGTACCCTAGAGCTAAACTAACCTCGTAGAAACTAGTCTAAAGGATTATACCGAACACTATCTATAACTAAATCGAATCATAGATCGAATGTAACTTGATTTTTAACCCTGAGTTAAGAGTTAATCCAGGTTCGAACCAGAGTTAAATTTTAACTCTGAGTTAGGCATATTTAACTCAGAGTTAAAGTTAATCCACGACTGTGAAACGGAATTTAACTCGGAGTTAATCCACGACTGTGGAACCGGGTCCAGGTCATGAATAATATTTAAGAAGGGTCTATACAGTCTGAATTGACGCCCGAGCATCAAGTGATGATGGGGCAGAATCTCAACCGCTACTACTAGTATACCGCTAAATACTACTGCTGTATAAGCAGTATAATGAGTGTATTTTCAATGCGTTTATATAGGATTGTACATAGCCATAATGCTGGCGAGGCCCGAGGGGCGGTATTACGAGGCTAAATTACATACAAATAGATCCAAACGATCTGTACATTGGCATTTTCCTGGCGATAAGTGAGGTTGGCGGTATTACGAGGGGCGGTATAACGAGGTTTTACCGTAGTCTAGAATTTTGCACGCATCCACACACCTAGCTCCCCCTCCACACACACCTCCACATCCACAACCCTACATCCCCCCAAAAAATTTAAATTAAAATAAAAATAAAATTTAAATTTAAAATTTAAATTTAAATTTAAAATTAATTAATTAAACATTAGGACTATAGATCGATACCCCATCCCCTGTGGGTTTTCGGACTAGTGGGCTTTCGGACTATTGGGCCGTCGGACTAGCGAGCAGTCGCCCTAATGACGTGCACTATATATGTCCCCGATTCTTTGATAAAGTACTACACTCACATATTGTGAGTCCGCATTCTGATACCTGGAGTGTCCCACTATACTGGTAGAATAACTAACGTCGTCATTCAGATGTCATAAATCTAAGTTCTCATTGGTAGGCGCTCACACACGTGTGTCTGTGTGTGCGTGTGCGTGTGTCTGTGTGCGTGTGCGTGTGCGTGTGTGTGTGCGCGTGTGCGTGTGCGTGTGCGTGTGCGTGTGCGTGTTTGTCACAAATTAGGTAAAGTATTTTACTATGATTTATGAAATCTTCGGTCTATAGGTTCCTTTTCAATATTGTGTCTATCGGACCTTCGGTCCCTGCAGTGGTTCCCAACCTTTTGGACTCCCCGTACCCCTATTTTTTTACGCTATCTCCTGGTACCCTTTCGCCCAACATAAGCAAAATGAAGAACCAACACTGATGTATTGTCATGAATATTTTGACATTATGTTTATGTTTTATTAACGCAATGCAGTCGCACGGCGTCGAGTGGCTGTGTAAATTTCCACACTCAATTCGCATTGTTCTTGATTGTTTGCTTGGACACAGAGCGTCATTGAAGAGAGCGTTCACACGACGTTTGATCGATCAATTCTTGGACATGCCTCTTTGGACGATCTGCGAGCTGAGAAAAAAATCCAATGCATCCAAGCGAACAATCAAGCGAACAATGCAAATTGAGTGTGGAAATTTACACAGCCACTCGCACACGCTGTTCAATCTTCCACACGTGGAAGAAAATATCAAACACGTGTGATATTTTACACACGACTCAGATCGATGGATTTTGCATGCGCACACGCTGCGGAACTTGCTGCACCATCGTCCACATGTGGACGATGGCGCAGCAAGTTCCACAGTGTGTGGGGCGGGCTTTACACGATTTTTGTGGATTGGGGACTAGACCTCGACCGAAAACCATGACTTGTTGGCACTGTTGATAGAGATGCCTGAATAACCCGCTGATTATTATATAGCACTACTTTTTTAAAATTGTCTAAGAGTCTTCCCAGGTACCCCCTGTGGTGTTCGTTGGTACCCCCATGGGGTACTAGTACCCCCGGTTGGGAACCAGGGGTCTATAGGGATAACCCCATATAAGACAATTTATAATGGTGAATGGCAGGGCAGAATGGCATGGTTAACATATTGTAACAATTTATTGTCACCATGGGTGATTTAAAAATTGCAAAATTTCCTCACATGTAGTGCTGCATGGGTTATGGTAACAATTTAAAGTAACTGTGAAAAATATAAGACAGAATTTATAATGGTGGAACGGCATGATTAACATATGGTAACAATTTATTGTCACCATGGGCGATTACAGTTAAATTGCGAAATTTCCGAATTATATATAGTGATGTATAGGTTATGGTAACAATTTATTGTCACCATGGGCGATTACAGTTAAATTGCGAAATTTCCGAATTATATATAGTGATGTATAGGTTATGGTAACAATTTATTGTCACCATGGGCGATTACAGTTAAATTGCGAAATTTCCGAATTATATATAGTGATGTATAGGTTATGGTAACAATTTATTGTCACCATGGGCGATTACAGTTAAATTGCGAAATTTCCGAATTATATATAGTGATGTATAGGTTATGGTAACAATTTA